CCATGAACAGAGCATGATGAACTAGCCAAGTCTGGAACCCAGACCTCTAGACCCACAGTCCAGTGCATGAACTACCAGGCTACCGCATCTCCCATAACAAGTTATCCATGAATAATCATTAGAACTGAAGTTATAGAATAATAAAAGAGGCAACAAAATAACAAACAAATGGGTCAAGTTTATGTACATTCTTTACAATTATCTAACCTGATTTCCCATATTTTTATCTCTATTTTCAACATATTTTCTCTCATCTTTACTTTGGCTGTCCTCTTCCTTTTGCTAACAAAACAAAACAATGTTTTCAGTACCATGGGAGAGGTGGTCCATAAGTTAACATGTTGAATCAAACAGCAATCATTAATTAAAGAATAAAACTTTAAGAATTTCCCTCCATTGTATATAATCCAAATTTTAATACAATGCATTGACTGCTAGATTCCAGTGTCCTATGTATTCTGTGATTTTTTTCCCTTCAGGTACCTAATGACTTGTTCTGTATGTCAAAATTTCAGAGGGTTTAGTCCAACTCCCAACACACTGAAAGCAAATTACACTAGCATGTTACCTCCCAAAGTAACACAGTACAGCACACAGCATAGACAATGGTAAAAGAACTCAAAAAGTTAAATAGGATGAAGAAGACTTTTTTAGAGATGGAGAAGACATAACAGGCTACCTTAGACACAAATGCTCCTGAAGAATCAAATGTGCCAGGAGTTGTAAAATCTTCATTATCATCATTACTCCATTCAGGGAGCCTGTCATAAGATGAGCCCCACCGAACATCTTCATTATCATGATAAGACCGACGACTGCCACGTGCTGTTTGCCACTCGTCATCAGGATGACCTCGTTCTCGATAGGACTCTGTTCCCCCTCTCCAGGATGCACGGCCTCTTGATGGACCACCTACAGAACAACATGGAAACCTTTTGATTTTTCTGATTCTGATTCCCACTGTTCACTATGCAATATGTACTCTTACAACCTGCAGGTGTGTGCAGTGTCCTTCTCTGCTTTACAGGCGGGTAGACAATTAACCCTCAAACCCCAGTGAGTGTTGAACATGTAACCCAACCCTATAACATCCTTGCATTATCCAGCAAACAAGAAATAAGAATATCTACTTGAACTGATCAAGTAGTTTTTTTGTTGATCTGAAACCAGATTCTTGTAACTGATTTACAAGGTAATGTGTCTCAGCTAAATGGGAGATTTAACAATCAGATCCTTGAAAATAAATGGAATGAATAAGAACCCTCATATCCAAAAAATGCAAATGAATGAAGCAAAGCATCATTAACAAGCCCCACGCAAGTGGGGAAATGACAAGTACCTTCTACTGTCAGGCAGTTGCCAAACATAAATCCTTAATAATAATGAAGAAATATAACTAATTAAAACTACTTTCTTGAGTCCATCCATCACTCACCTCCTCTCCATTTGTCAGATCTGTCAGAGGACCGCTGTCCAGATATTCTCCAGCCATCATCGTCATCACCAGACCTCCAATTGCCGCTATCTGATCTTCTCTCTGCTCGTTCCCAAGATGTGTCACTTGAGAGGCGAGGTCGAGCTAAAGATGGATCATACCCTCCTCTGCCAGGACCAGATGGACCTAAAACAACCAGGCAGAATGATCAATCAGCATCAGTGATGCAAATGTAAAACAACACTCAAGCTGTTGTTCTCTGAATGATCCCTTCCCAAAACAGGAAAAGCAAAAATCACCTATTTATAAATAAACAGCAATTCTGGTTACAGATGATGAAACTGTGATTTTCTCATTTCACAACTTAGATAAGAACTGCACCTTCATCAGGAAAAACAAATTGAAGCAAAAATGTACTGCCAGTTTTGAATTAGCTTTATTTAGGAGTAAAGGGCCATCAGGAGATTATTATCCATGATCTTCAACAGTTTTCCCTGTCAGATAACAAAAATACCCAACCTGATTCTCTAAGGCTTGGTGATCTCTCAAAGCTTCCACGACTAAAACACAAATAGAGCAACTGTTACCATTGTAGAGGCCTTGCACATGTTTGATACCCATCAGAGGACAAACTGTAACTCTGATAACACAAGCTTTTAATCAACTAAAATTGATTCACTTCAAGTTGTTGAACAATCTCTTCTCTCGCATATTTTTAAGGTCATTACAACAGAATGCAATGATTGAAGAAATAGGTTAGTGAAGCAATATTCTAACCTGTTCTCACTCCATCCCTGCCTGCGGGTGTCGCTGCCTCGTCCAAAGCCTGCCCCACCCTCTCCCCTGGTGTCTTCATATGATGTTTGTCTTGTATATCCCCCATCCCCCCTGCCGCGCCCTAAGAGAGAAGAAAACAACAAAAGAAAAAAGATAATTGTTACACAAAACCCTCAGAGAGCAACAGCTTCTCAGGGAATTTAAAGAAAAGGTGTGAATCAGAGAATGTGAAGTGTTCAAAGTAAAATTTGTAGTGCAACAGTTCACAACCTTAATTGGAGTATGTTAAGAATTCTATTAGCTCTGAGATTTTTTTTTCAAAAGATCACCTTTGGCCACCTTCAATTGTAAAATGGTCACCATTAAAAAAGTTTTGTACCTGGGAGTTACAGAATGATGAGGAAGAAAAAGAGAAGGAAAGAAAGGATGGCTTCCAAAGGAGATCTCATTCAACATACAATATAAAACCAGATAAAATACAAACCACATTACCTCTAATTCCACCCCTACCCGGTCCTCTAGGCGGGCCAACTCCTCGCATTGCACCACGACCCATTAACTTCAAGACAGCATTACTGTTAACAGACCCAGCAGAGTTTCTCTGAAAAAATGAAATACATTTTAAAAAAAGAGACCAAATGAATCAAACACCACATAAGTGGGGTTGTCAAGCTTTATTTATGACAAAATCTCAAAAACCAAATTGTACATTGACAGAGGTCAATTATTAAATTTGACTTGAGAAATTAATTTTGTCCAATAGTCAGAGATAAACACTAACCAAGTTCAAGGTCTGAAATGAGGTAAGTTTTTCTTCTTGGATTTATGGCCTAGGCCATAAATCTGAGCAGAAAAACTTGGACCTTAATTCACCATACTGATGGAGAAATTGAGGTTAGGGAGATATTTATTATATCTCTGGGTTCATAAAGAGGGGGAGAAATTTCAACTCAGACAAAATTTTGAATTTTGCAGGTTGTAAGGTGAAATATGACCCACTATATTGACAAATTATAGTGAGAAATAAAAACATACCGAGAAAAAGAAAAAAATGCTTGATACACATAGAGAGGCAATGGAAAAAAAGTAAAATAATGGCTTGACATTATCGTCTAAATTATCACCAAATTCTTGAAGCTAAAATTTTAAGAACTTCATAGCAGACTGGGCAGAGAATTGACATGCAGAGCTTAGAGGTGAAAGGGTTAAAATATTGTTATCATCAGCACCTGTTCCTCCTCTGTAAATTGTTGAAAAGCTAAAGGAAGAGCAGGTCGAGTTCTACAGATTGAATCAAACAACTGTAACTCTGGGGGCACCATGACATCCTCACTGAACAGCGCCAGCATCTCCTCCTTACCATACCGGTGCTCAGCAAGTTTGTACTTTGGCCCAGGGGAAGGTGGGGGAGAGGTAACACTGTTACCACTGGACAGTGCACGCAACCTGCAGTGAGCATTTTAAAGACATTCATGGGTTTAAATGCAGCAAATCCATGCAAAGTAGAATTTCAGAATTTCATGCATCATAATAATAATAATAATAATAATAATAATACTATGTTCAGGAGTTTGGGAAATAGTTTGGTCACAAGGCTTTTGCATTGTATTACAAGTAGAACTAGTTTTTCCCCACCCCCCACCCCACCCCCCCCCAATCTCCCATGTTGTGGCAGGCAGTGAATTCACTAATGGATTATTTATTTACACTTTTACAAACTGAAGATGTAAAAAGCCAAATCATGGAAGTTATTAAAGCTGTGATCCTTCAAAGAGAAACTGCTAGGAGTCATCTAAATTACACTGTGATTGCATCTTCATACTTTTTAAACGCCATTCTGTTAATATTTTTGTTTGTTCAATGCAGCACACACAATAAGTACAACCTCACTTCTTTTAAAGAACAAAACATGAACTATGATCTCCCATATTTCACAAACCAAGTGAAAATAAAAAAAAACTTGAAAGGGTCATTAACATACAAATGTCAATAAAGAGCTACAAAAATGCACACATTAAATTTTTGATGCAGTGTTACTGGTAAAGTTATTTTAAAATACAGGGCAAACATGTCCACATGGAGCTTATAACTAGCACAATCCCATTTTCACTTAGAAAGCAGTGATCCTCAAGCCAAAAAACCAACAACAAGAAAGACATTCAAATGACCTCACTGCAGCTTCCACTTGACTCAATGAACTTTTTGATAGCAATTACTTCTCCAAATTTAGGGCAAACCATCTTATTTTCAAGGGGTTGGGGAGAGGGGTGGAACCACTTTTGTTCTCTGATTATTTTTTTTGTTTTTTAATTGCTTCCTATGGAAAGTGGAAAGAATTTACTTAAGCCTTGTCAAAAGTGAGTTCAACCTCATGAGCTGAAAATAATTTCCAATCAGCCAGCTTGCCTTAGGAAAAGGTACTCTCTCACTCATAAAAAGTACATCAATTTAATATCATTTGTAAGTCCCTGTAATGCAAACTGAACAGTCTGTTGTTTTTTCTGGAAAAGAAAAACAACGTTTTCCAAGCGAAGCTAGCATTTAAACAACATTTAGGAGAAGCGCCAAAAAAATGTTAAGTCAAGAACGTATAAAGTCTGAGGAAAAAAGGAAAAACTACACATAGGCTGAGTTATCAACAAAAATGGTGTCTCGCACTATTCACACCACATCAAAGCGCGTAACGTGTCGGAGTATCAGCTGATGTAAGTCGTAAATTAAATGCAAAGTGTGAGCGACTTCTGCTCACTACAAGAGCATACGTTTTAAATTGCCGTCGTAATTTCGTAATAAACCCATCCGTCAAAGAAAGAAGTAGGTCATAATAATTTGAAATAATACCAATTAACATATCATTTTATTTTCCGCTTACCACTCCGGTCCAAACGTTAGAGTTTCCGACATACTGATTCCTAGGTGCAAAAAAAACAAATGAACAAACGTAAGATAAGACTGAGATTACGAGAGATTTTTCTTCAGTGACATCAAATTTAAATAGAAACCGTTTTGACAAGCACAACAGGATAGGATTTCATTGCACGGAAAATTTTACTCAAATAGATCTAGCACAAACATATATACGTTCAAATCGATTAAAAATTCACAGTGTCTCGGAAGTACGGGAAAGGAGAAGTGAGTCCAGTTTGCTTCGCCCGCAGGCTCGGCAGCTTATAACTCCGACGAAGCCAGGGGGCAGGGAGAAAAGACAAGGAGTAAGCTTTCGCACTGCAATAATAGTACCTTCGAATATTGTCTTGTAGCTCTGCAAGAGCTTTGCAAATTCCTGCGTTCAAGTAAAGGTGAGAGAAAAATGGCGAACCTCGAAATTTACAAGTTTGATCACGTGGTTAGTTTTTTCAATCTTTTCCACATCGAGCATAATTTTACTAAAAAACAGCTGATCATTATAAACGTGGGCTATGATTATTTACGTTGTCAGCGGATGTCCTCATCGGTTAAAGAAAGAAGTGAAAACTCACAGCGGCAACTGTAATCTGAAGTTTCTTTCATTCGATATTTCCACCGATCTGCTCTTGAAAAGCGTAGTTGTGGTGATGAGGAACTACCTCATACTGCTTTTGGTTTTCTTCCCTTACTATCTTTGCTTGGATGCTCTAGGACCCGATGAAGATCCGTACAAGATTTTGGGTGTAACTCGCTCTGCAAGCCAGGCAGACATAAAAAGAGCTTACAAGAAAATGGCGAGGAATTGGTAAATGCTTATGAAAATTTAAAGATCTTTGTTTTTGAATGGAATTTGTTTCATTTCCTAACGAGACGAGCGAATCTGTTTATCCAATCAAAGTGTTTATATAGCTGAAAGCGATTGTTATGATTTTTACATTCGATCCTCATGCGTTGAGAAATCTCAATTTCCAACTACACAAAAGAGTGCAGACGGGAGAAATAAATAAGCGCCAGGGACACTACCTGAGGAATGCACCTCAACAAGTTATAGATAATTGAGCTATAGAAGCAAAGGAATTGTTTAACTTCATGAAGCTAAATCTAAAAGCCTTTGGCATCAATTATTGTAGGCTTCCTTTCTTGACATGATAATACTAAATGAGATCACTTAATTTTTTTTTTTAGTTTACGTATTAAAAAGATGCAGTCGTTTGAGAGATTATATTTTTGATGCTACATATATAGGAGTAGTGCAATCTTAAAAAAAAATTTTTTTTTCTTCCATTAGGCACCCAGACAAGAATAACGATCCCTCAGCACAAGAAATGTTTATCAAAATCAATGAGGCTAATGAGGTGAGGATGTAATTCTCTCTACTGTCTGCCATATAATTCTTAAGATGTTGGTTTGGAGAATGTGGTGTTGGATCAACCAAGAATCCCCCTGTTGATGTTTTTCTTTATTCTCATCAATTGTCTGCTTGATATGGTATAGATATTTTAACCCTTAGACCCCTAAGAGTGACCAGAATCCAATTTCTCCCTACATTAACACCCTTGAATCAAACATTTAAGTCATAAGAATAGAGAAAATGATCATCAACTGAGGGAGCTCTTGATTGTTAAACAAATTCTCCTCATCAGCAGCTAAGGAAATGTATAGAGAACAGTATGAAGAATATGCATTCTGATGTTAAGGTGTAAAGGGTTTAGGAGAAATTCTATGACAGTAAATATATGAAAATCATCCCATACAGGCATCAGTTTTTTCAGGCCTTATTTTCTCTACTGCTCAAGTAGTGCTCATTACTGCGAAGATTGCTTTCATATTCATGAGAAATTCTATCTTAGTCACTCATGGGAGTTTAAGGGTTAAGAAGTCACTAAGAAGAGCTTTGCCCCAGAGAGTGATGATAATGTAATCAAAATGAATACTGGGATTAACCTCAAGACTCCTTGGTACAATTTGCAATTGTCAACTTTTAGATAAAACAAGCCCAGCCTGGGGGTCTGGGTTTTACGGTATCTGGGTTGTTTTTAACAAGGTAAGCAATTTTTCCATATCATATTACAGGTGCAAATTACCTTGTTTATTGCTAGCTTAATAAAGAAATTTTTAGGTTACTTGTCTATAAGTTTTAAAATTAATTTAACCCTTCATACTCAAACATCAGTATCAATATTCCTCTTATTTTTCTCTATGAATTTCCTCTGGTACTGACAAGGAGAATTTGTTTAACAATCAAGAGCTTCTTCAGAGATTAGTCACTCTCATGGGTTAAAGAGTCAAAACATATTGATATCTCAAAGAGAAAAAAAGTTTGTATACCAGTATCCCAACTCTGATCCCTGTGGCTTTGATTTTCAGATTTTGTCAGATGAAGAAAAGAAAAGGAATTTTGATATGTTTGGAACCACCTCACAGCCAGGCAATGGTGGACCACAAGGAAAACCATTTTATGATCCGCACAGTGGGTTTAGCTTCTTCTTCAATGGAATGCCTTTTCAAAATTCTTGGTCCAAACCAGGACAAATTAATTACAGATTTTACTACAAGACAGTCCTACCAGAGAGTTACGAGAAGCCTTACTTGATTGAAATTATCTCAGACTGGTGTTTTGCTTGTAAGTTGATTATAAGGTCATGATACAACACATGACACATCTCAATGACATGTTGCGGTAAAAACTCATTGCAAAGAATCTCTTTATGTGATGTGGAGGATTTTCTTGATTAATAATATGGCTCGTTTGAATACATGTGAATTCATCTGACTGATTGTAACAATGACACTCTATTGCACAGAATAAGATTTTCATGAAAATTCCTTGTATCCTGAGACAAACTTTCTCTGTGACTTCCTCCTTCGTTGTATTGTAGCAACTTGTTTTTGGAGCCAGTTAACACACTGGAGCTTGTCTTCAGCTAATGTCTTGACTTTAACCCTCTCACTTCCAAGATCTCATTTGTAATTCCCCTTACCATCTTTGATATAATTCTTATGATATTGCTTGGAGAACTTGGCATTAGATCAACTAACAATCCCTTAATTGATATTTTTCTTTATTCTTGTCACTTGTCTGCTTGATGTTGTATTGATATTGTAAGGAGAAATTATGTCTCGGTCACTCATTGGAGTTGCGGTGTTAATTTACTGTTCCATCAAATGATGTGATGAGGGATGTACATCAAGAATAGCTTGTGGTTTTTATTTTTAAAACAAGACAACAGACAAACCTTTCCCATAGGGGAAAGAACACTTGTGTTGCAGTGCTGATTGTGAGGGTATCTGGCAGACTACAAACTAACAAATTTTGTTTAAAAATCATACCAGAATTGGATCAATATCAGTATCTGGGCAACTGCCCACCTACCCCTCCCTTAACCCAACATTAACCCTAACTTGTTATCAATTGACTGTTGTTGAGTTAGGGGAGGGGTAGGTGGGCAGTTGCCCAGATACTGATATTGATCCCCAGAATCTTTGAATCAAAATTAAAAATCAAAAATTCTTTTAAAATTATCTTTCAATCAAAGGTGCACAAATTGAGGAGATATGGGAAGAAGCATCCAATAAAATAAAGAAAGTTGGTGTGGGAATTGGCATAATCAATGTCAATAGGAGTCCGCGTTTGGCAGATGCATTGGGCGTAGGAAGAGTGCCCTCGATCATTGGTGTCATCAATGGAAGAGTTGCGTTCTACAATGAAATAGTTACTGTGCAGGGTTTGAAGGATTTTGTACTGGAGTTATTTCCACGTGGCTTAATTGAAAAGGTGAATTTTTTATTATGTACTGGTATTGTGCAGAGAAAGTCCTAACTCGTTTACTCTCCCAGGAGTGAAAGGGTTAACCTTTACATCCAAACATCAAAAGGCATATTCTCCATACTGCTTCTCATACATTTCCCAAGTTGATGACAAGGAGAATTTGCTTAACAATGAAGAGCTTCTTTAGTCAATGATTGTTCTTGTGATCTTAATGTATGATTCCGCGGTAACATTGTACAGAGAAATTAAATGCTAATCACTCTCAGGGATCAAAGGATCATTAGAATTCAGAATCTAAGGAATGATAGTGCTACTATAAGCTAAAAAAAAAACAGTATAGACTTTTAGAATTCCTGATAATTTTATTCTTTAGATTTCAAAGATATAATATTGGATTTTCCTATATGAATGTGGCAAACCGCAATCAGCTTTTTGAGATCAGTAACTACTAGTAGGATTTTTGAGAAAGGGTCTCTTAGTCTCCTAGTTAATCAATCATGGTAATGATTAGACCAAGAGATCTCTGTACTAAACCCACCCCACATTATCTTTTCAGGTTACAGCCAGTAATCTTGATTCTTTTTTGACGACAAGCATCAGCAACAAACCAAGTGTGATTCTATTTTCCCCCAAACCTAATCCTTCACTCCTTTATCATCTGGTGGCTTTCAGCAACTGCAAACAACAGTCATTTGGCTTTGTATCGTTGACTGACAGCTCTTCAGAACCTCTCAGGAAACGCTTTAGAGTAAACTCTAAGGAACCAACAGTGTTGATCTTTAAGGATGATGTGGCTGTGCCAGATGTGGTTGTCATGGTAACTAGTTGAAGTTGACAAGCTCTTTTATATGCATTTCTCATCAACTTGAAGATCAGTCATTTGTTATTGACTAAAGTAGAGATGCCAGGTTTAATCACATGGGTGTCATATTGAAAATCAAAATATCAGTGTCTTTTTTTTTCACATATCTTCATTTAAAAAAAAAAAACATTTCTTGAAACTTGGTCATGAAAAGATTTCAGATGGTTTCCAACATGATTTGAATATTTTGATAAATTTAGTCAATGAAAACTGCATATCTTAGTAAAATTGTGTAGGTAATTTTTTAATCTATGATTGAAAAAATAGATAGTATTGAGCAATTAGTTAGATCATAACTTGTTTTGAATTTTCACTTGCAGGCATCTGAGCTCACGCATGGAAAACTTCGTGAAGTAGTTGAATCTCACAAATATCTTCGCCTTCCAAGACTGTCTTCAAGGTCTTTATTTGATGAACTTTGTCCTGAGGAGAGGTTTAGATCCCAGCGAAGGTTGGTTGCTTGCCTAAATAAAGCAGGAAATGTGTTGAGCTCAAGTGAGGGTTAGGAAATCGTTTTTGAAAGCTTTTGTGTATACAGTTTATGTAAAAGGTTTTGATTCCCCTTAGTGTCTTAATCATAAAACAAACATACATGTATCTACACTCCAAATCAAAGGGTTCAGGCAAGGTTCAAAACACCCCCCCCCCCCCCCCCCAGCATTTTATCAGGTTTCCCTGACTACTAACTGATACCAGTTTTCTCCAGGTTGGAGAGAGTAAAGTGTTTTGCCCAAGAACACAGCACATTGACCAAGCTAGGCCC